TAGGCGACAGAGTGAGACTCTAACTCAAAACAAACAAAATGTTGTTAATGTTTTGGTCCTTAATTATACAGTGGAGAAAGATACATTTTTCGTGTAAGAAAAACAGATCTTTAATCTTTTAAAAGCAAGATCAATCTTAATTATAATGGCAGAAATACCAAATGAAAGTATATTGAGATGTAATTTTCTACAGACTGGCAAAACCTGAAAAGTTTGGTAACACAATCTGTTGGAAAAGCTATGGAGCTTCTCATTTAGTGTGGGTGGAAGCTCAAAAAAAGTCATAACTAACATGAATAATTTTTTGGCAACAACTGTCAAAAAATTATTTTATCTTTTGTCTCATAAGTAGTATTTCTGGAAATTTATTTTGTGCATATATTTTCAAATACATACAATTATATATAAGACATTCATAGAAAAAGATTGAAAATACCTATGACAATAAAAGACTGATTAAATTAAGTATATTTATAGAGTAGAACAATATACAGCTGTAAAAAAGACAATTAGTTTTATGTTTTTTTAATGAAAATGTCTCTAAGAGAGAATGTTAAAATAAAAAAAGCAAAGCAGAGATGTGTGTACAGTTATGCTACCATTAGTATAATAAACCTTTATTATTATATATACATATACGTATATATACATATATTTTGTATAAAGAAACTGCCAAAGAAAAAAAAGAAAACTGGTTTCACATATGAAACTGGTTACCTGTTAAGATGGGGGTAAATAGTAAATAGGAAAGGTAGAAATAGGAATATAAAAAATATTTTTCTAAAAACTTTGTATTTAGATATTTTGAAAACTTTGTATTTAGGTTTTCTGTTGATTTTGAGTTATTTTGCTTTGCCACCTATTTTTAAATTAAACACAAACAAAATCAAGAAACAAACAAAAGGTCCTCATAAAATGAAAAGAAAAAGATTGTTATAATCATAGCCTGTATATGAACCTCGGGTACTTGAGCAGACAAATCAGTGCCTGTCCTTAAAAGACTCTCTCTTTTCACTGATTGCCATCTCTTCTGCAAACCACCCTAAAGAGTAAATGAAAGAAACAAATTCGTTCTGACACTTGATAGACAATCCATTGAAGTATTGGAAATACAGTCAATTATGTATTTCCCTTGCTCCAAAATCCTCTTGCTACCTATATTCAGGTCTACTATATTATGATCTCAAACTGTCTTTCCAGCCTTACCTCCTATTCCTATTCTTCTGTCTAACAAAACTGGTCATTTCACTCTTCATTGGAAATTCTCTGGCACTCCATGTTTTTGTGCATTGATATGCTCCCTTCAAGTTCCTTGGGATGTTTCTCAGTCTCTTGTCTAGATTTCTCAGAAAAGTACCACAAAATATTTTTCCAAAACTATTCTGAATTTCCTGATAGGATATGATCGAATTATACAACAGCTACAGAATTATCTAGTTTAAGGGCTGGCAAACAACAAGAATGCAAAAATGTTAGATGGATTTCTGAAACCTAATAGAACATTCTTTTATCTTCTTATGGTACTAGACAAATTTTAGTATAATTAGTAATATAATAGTCACACTAGATTATAAGCTTTTAGAAGACAATGTTGTGAGGGGTTTTCACACATGGCGTAGCTGTTGAAAAATATTTTTAAATTCACTTTAAAGTAAAACTCATGTTTCATTCAGGCCTGTCTATAAATGAATACCAAATTTATGTATGATTGTAGAGTTTGAAGATATTGGGAAGTGATTATTTAAAATGTGACCATAGGTGGTTCTGAAGTGAAGTTCTGTGGTTTTTGTCCATAAGAAATGCAACCGCCTTTCTTCTGAGGAAAGCATTTTAATTTTTAGTCCAGGAGACCCAGCACCTCTATTCAGCTAAGAGTCCATGGGGTGCAGGTGCAGTACTCAATGCATGAGTAGGTCTGTAATCTAGGCCTGGTCACTCAGGTTGTCTGTGCCCAGATTTAATGATTGTTCAGCTATGGGTCATGTGAACCAATTCAGTTCAGTCAGACCTAAATCTGAGACTTTGCTGTGGGGATCAGGGAAAGGCATTCTTTTGCCACAGAGTTTGCTGAAAGGATCAACTCAACTCAGTGGGACCTTCTGCCAGAGACTCCTTACAGCACAATGCAAAGAAGAGTTAATGAATTAAAATGAATGTGAGAATCCTGTGAGAACTGGATCCAGTCATTTCTGACTTTGTTATCCTTGAACTTTTCACATGTAAAGAACTATCTCTATTGTCTAGGTTAGTTTTAATTAATTTCCTATCATTTGTGAACACAGGAGTTTTGTCTATTATGAGCTGAAACTTAGAATACTTGTAAGTGTATTTAAAAGTCTGATTATATAATATTTATTTTGCAGTGTAAAGATATACTTCTGGTATCCAAAGAGTTAAATTCAGGGTAAAAAATTACTTTTAAAATACATCTATTCAAATTGATTATTTTAAATATTTTTAAGTGTATGGGAATAGCAAAATTGTTTGAAAATTTTTTTTCATTTGCTACAAGAAAGGTGTATATTTCTTCAAGAATATCTTAGAGAAATGGACACTGCTATGATGGATCCTTCATTGAGATATTCTCAGCAATTCTATGTTTCAATATCATAGGAAGGGGCAATAGTTAAGAAAACACTCTTTTTCATTCCTCCAAGTCCCCTCCCCCCAACTATTTGCCATAGTATCAGTCTTCTCATGAGACAAGTCCTCAGCAGGTAGCTGATTCTTTGAGTCCTGTCTGCTGAGAGAAGAGGAGGGGCCTGGCTAAGAAGTCAAAGTTCTGTAGACTTCTCCGATCAGTATGGATTCATTTAACTAGGTTACCTAAATGCTAGAATATAAGATGAGTATATTTTTAAAGGCAATGTGAATAGAATAGAAGGGACAAGAAGGTGTCTATCTCTCTAGGTCCCAAGGTGGCAGGACCATAAATTAGAGATAGAGCAAGGCCACTCCAGAAAAGAACTTTAAAAAGGAACAACAGGAGGAATATCAAGGAAAGATTTTTTTCCTTTCTGAATTTTGCTGAAAACTGGCCTCACACAGGAAAGCACAATGCTCTTTTAGCAAACTGGCTTTGATATGATTTCCAAATGAGATCATATGTAATGTTTTTATTTGACCAAAATGTGTTTCTTATTTATCTACTTAAAAGGTATAAAAGTATAGTATTCTAGAATAACTCTGCAACTAACTCTCTTACAATTTGGTTTTTACATTCAAGAGACTATACATTACTTATTTTAACAAACAGTTCTGAGGGTATCTTAGCTCTATCTTATCATCTTTATTTGTTTCTCCTTCTAAATCTATATGAAGCTTTGTTTAATTAATTCTTCATTCTACACATATTCTGCAAAATATTTTAATTTGACAGTTGTTGCAAGAAACACTTATTTTTACAAAGAATTTGGTTTTTAAAAGTAATAAATAATTTTAAAACTGTCATGGACTTTTCCTCAATGCCAGATGCTTATCTGGATATTCATTCTCGCTAATGTATAAGTGCTACATATGTTTATTCATATGATATTCTTTTATTATAAAATGAAATAAAGTAATAACATATCAACCAAAATTATCTGAATTATACGGCTTCTACAGATACAGAGGTTCAGCACTACAATATTGAAGACAGATTTAAATAATGCTTTCCATTGTGAGGAAATGCAACAAATTGAAAATCTAATCAGAATATCAAAGCAAATACATATTACCAGGGTCTTCTTGCACTCTAACAATAAAAAATGTATTGAACACCAAGTTCTAATCTCTATTTTCTGTGATCATTTTAATAGTCAACAAGTATTGACAATTGAAGAGGTCTTAAAATGGAGTGTGCTAGTATGCCTAATAATTTCCTACTAAATTGTCCATGTCAAAAACATTTATATGTGTCTTTCAATAGAAGACAATAAGAGAAAAGAAAATTGTTGCCACTTATCAACCCTGTAACCATTTTTTAATAACACAAAAAAATAGCTGTTGTGGGGGCCATCATTTCTTCCATCCAACAGCACAATAAAAATAATATTAGGAAAGAGTGGATCATATCTTGAGTTTTTATTAAAATTCTTTCAAAAATCTACAGTCAGATTTATTTTAGGTATTTGTCTCTGGGATTAGCAATATTTTGATGTTTTTTTTGCACATATGTTATAGCACACAAAGACATTCTGTGAAAGCCAGAAGTCAATATAAAAGAAAATTACTTGTCAGTTTGTGATTAACAAATTCTTTTCATGTCTAAGGTTTATTATTTTGAGATATCTAAAAGAAGGAAAATCATATAATTACGTACATAACAAAAATATACCTCGAATTTGCCTCTTCTCCCACAGTAACCTTCAGGAAGTTGGCTGTGACTACTCTTTTAAATATAAAATTTTGCTTATGAATTGAAAACTTGTCCTCATTTCACCTTATATAAATAAAATGTAGAAAAATATTTGTGTCATGATAGAAAGTATTCTTTTACATTTTAAAACTTTCTTGCTTTTTAATGATTATTTAATAAGCTATTTATTTGAGAACCATTTTAAGGGTTTGAATGCTAACTTTTATACTTTAAAGTGGGTGTTTTTCACACTGAAATTTAATATTTTATTTTTTATTGGTATGAAAGGCTCTTATCTCTTTCATTATTAGGATTTTGAATAATGCATATTTTTATAAAACAGTTAAAGGTACAAAGTCTCACTTTTTTTTTCTAGTTGTTATTTTTAAAAACCCTTTCAAACTAAAACTATACTTCACTCTGTTGTCAACATTTTTGTATGAGATCCTAGTATAATATTTTAGGAGGACTTTGGGACCTGACGACTTCAAATATGAAAAGAATATTCTTTTCTACACTAAAGGGAACTGAATTATGTTTCAGTCACAAGTGAAAGCATCACATTTGGTAGAAATGTTTACATGTCCACACCAAGACATAGGATACTCTGCCAAATATTTTCAGATTTAAATTTCATGTACAATATAAAGTTAAAACTTACCTTTTCTCAGAGACGACTTGTTATTGAAACTGCCATCAACTTCTGTTAGTGACTCTTTCAACAAAAACGGAAAACAGTAAAGTCACATGTCGTAAGAGTAGGCCTGTGTTGGATGCTGTTTAATTTCAGTACTGGCCAAAAAAAAAAAAAAAAAGGCGGGGTGGGGGGTGGGAATGAGCACAAAACTTTTAAATAAAACCACTTCCTGAGTAGATACAGTTAACCACACACATCACATCATTACTCGATTTGAAGAAATTGCCTTGTATAGTCAACAATATTGTTATTTTTCACTGTGATTATCAATTTTCAGACATTACACATTTACATAGAGTTTATCAATTTTTATTTAATGGAGAAATGTGTGATTAAAACTTCAGCGGGGGGAGGAGCAGGCTGCTAAGCACTGTGGAAACTTCCCCTTTTTCTGCCTTCTAGCAGGAGCTTAAAAATTAAGTCTCTACTACCCTGGGTAAGCTTGGGCATGTTGATATACTATCAGGAGGTTCTGCGTATTGACCTGGAAAACCAAGCAGTCCTTGCCAATTCAAAGAGCTAACGCCTCTGTCTCAGTCATGAAAGAATCCACCAAAATCTACTCCAAGTAACAAGTTCACAGGGCCTTGGTCAGGTTGCATTTGTACTTCGGAAAACGCAACCCAGAGCCCCACTGACATCTGAGTGTCTCAGAGGGAAGGGAAGGTGCTTATGGAACACATGCTGTGGCATTTGTTCTGACTGTGGCTCTCATACTGGTGTACCCTCTCTGGCAGTTTCCTAAGCAGTTCTGAAATCTGCTGAAGAGCTTTTGCTCTAGCTGAATGATTCTTTGTGTGGTCTGACTTTAAAAGAAACAATATTATAATAAAGGATCCAGAGGGTATCACTTCGGCATTCTGCTGTGTGCCCTCCTATGTCAACCTTCAACCAATCCAAGACATATTTTTAAGGGGTCTCAGAAGTTACTATAGAATGTGCATCTTTATTGAGCCATGGAGTTCAAGAAATAAGCTCCTGGATTTTCAGGCTTGACTGGTTTTGTGAGATTTGCAGGATATTCACAAAAAGAAAAGCTTCCCTTCCAAATATATGAGAGAGTCAAATCGCAACCTCCTGTCATAAAACCAATTAAAATAGAAATTTGTGTAATAGAACTCAATGGTATGGAATGTTTGGCATACAGAAAAGACAACTTTAAAACATATATCTAGTATATATGGCCCAAGTTAAAGATGGCATGTCCCTATCAGTTAATCTAATTTTTCTAGGACTCTCCTTTTAAAAATCATATTTCATATTTACCCTAGAATTCATTGTCAGCTATAATTCCAGGATGGACCTTTTTAAGTGTTTAGAGTCCTGGAGGTTCTTACTGAGTGTTCCTCCTTAACATTGAAGAGAAAGAAGAAAGGATAATATTAAAAGTGAGGAAATCAGAATTCAGGCCTCAATTCTCAGATATTCTACTCAATTTAAGCATTTGTAAATTCATGTCAGACTCAGAAGTCCAGAACTAGGAAAATGAATTATGCCTTTTTCTTTTAAATACATCTCATATCAGGCATTTGACTCAGAAAAAAAAAAAACAACCCAGTATGCTCTTATGGTAATAAATAAAATGTAAGTATCTATTTGAAGGGCAACACTATATTTTATCATAAATAGCTAGAGAGTAAATGAAGACAAAAGTCATATTTCCTTTGTATACAGTGGAATGTGAGTCATGTAGGCAGTGGTATGCCTGGGCTTGATTTCTGAAAGAAGATGAATTTACTATGATTAAGGCTCTAGGTTAGTGCTTTGACACTTGTGGCTTCATTTGCTCACTCTTTGTAGCAGTGAGTATTCATTGAATACTTGCTATACGCCAAGCATTGTACCAAGCACTTTACATTAATTTTGCCTTGTAGTCCTCACAACAATTTTGTGAGTTAGCTGACATTATTATACTCTTTTTATATGTGAGGAAATTGAGATTAATTTGTAGCCCAAATTAGTAAGGAAAGTAGCCAGGAGTCAAACCCGGAAACTCTGACCTCAGAGCCTTTGTTCTAAATTACTATGCTATCTCCTGACCAATTACTCTGCAGTACAACTTTAAGTAAATAATGCTGAGGATACTTTTCACTCCTGGTATTCCTTGTTGCCTCATCACTGACTGGAATGATAAATTTGAGGCAGGAATCATTCCAGAGAATCATACGAAAATCAAGTCCCCAGAAATGTCTTTGAATTTTAAATGTATATTAAAGAAATTAAAAGACAGTCAGGATAAACAGAAATATACTATGTTCGTGAATATGAAATCAGTGGGAATGCATCAATTTACCCAAATTAATATGCAAAGAAATACAATAAAATCTCAATTATAATCGCAACTGGACTTTTTGAAGAATGCAACAAACTTCATCTAGAATTTCCATAGCAGAACAAAGTCCAAAAATACTGAAATATATTTTAAAACAACAGAGCAAACACTGGTGACTTGACCTGTTAGATATTGAAATATTTCAAAACCACAGTGTTAAAAAACCATTTCAGTCCAGGCACATGGCTCATGCCTGTAATCCCAGAACTTTGGGAGGCTGAGGTGGGAGGATCATTTGAGCTCAGGAGTTTGAGACCAACCTATGCAACATAGCAAGACCCCATTTGTACAAAAAAAAAAAAAAAATAGCCAGGTGTGATAGTGAACACCTGTAGTTCCAGTTACTTGGGAGTCTGAGCCCAATTGGAAAATAAACAAGTAAGTTGAATATATAATTCTTGATAAGCAAAGCCCTAATATGTAATGTGTGTGTGAAGAGATGCACACACTTTATGGTAATCACAGTAATACAAGGTACATCAGCTCCCGCTGAAATGGTAAAAATCTGACTGAGAATGTATGGAGAAGGAACTCTCCTCGCCTACATTACTGATGAGACTGTAAACTAAAGCCCTTCTGAGGAGGAGTCTTCCAAAAATGGGCACAATAAAATATATGCATGAACTGTGTCCCAGCAACCCAACTCTGGTGTCAATATATGGTCTGGATAAATCTCTAACACAGAGTTATTTTTCCTCCTTTATCACAGCAAGTTAAATTATTGTGTCTGTGTGTTTGTATATTTTGGGGAAGAAAACAGAAATTTCTCCCCTAAACAGATGTCATACACTAAAGGAGAGGAGAAAAGGAAAGAAGGCTTGACTTAGATGAAGAAAGAGTTAGATTCCCCTGATAAGAGTGAAAGAGAGGAAGGGGTTTCCCTCCTTGGAGGGGAGCTATTTCTTACTCCCAAGTAGTAGTCCAACATTGGGAAAAACATAATCTGAATGCAACATCTATGAATTTATTGAGTACTTACTCTATGCCAGGTAATATAGTAGGCTTTAGATATTCTGTTGCTTTGGAGTGAATGTTTGTATCCCCCTAAATTTTATACATTGACATCTAAACCCCTGATATTACAGTAATAAAAGATGAAGCTTTGTGGAGATGATTACGTCATGAGGGTGGAACCCTCACCATTGGAATTAGTGCCCTTATAAAAGAGACCCCAGGGAATCAGCTCACCCATTCACTGTGAGGAGACAGTGAGTAGGTGTTATTTATGAGAAAGTGGGTCCTCACCAGGAACAGAATGTGCTGGCACCAGGATCATGAACTTTCTAGCTTCCAGAAATGTGAGAAATAAATGTTTGCTGTTTGTAAACAGCATTTTTGTTATAGCAATCCGAATAGACTAAAACAATTTTTTATTACATATTAGTTATGAAAATAAGATAAATAATTACAATATGTAATACAGGGGGACCCCAAAAAAACAGAATCAGTTTTTGGAGGGTGGTCTTCGTTTAGGATAGATTTCCCCTGCTAAGTATGTGTTTCTAGAAACCCATTGGCATCAGTGTGCCAGCTAGCATTGTTGTGAGAGGCTGCATTCAGCTTCACTGAACTTTTGGGGGGAGGAGTTTCTTTCCACAGGTTTGCCCACTTCAGAAGAGTGATTTACAGGCGCACCTGTCCACACTTCACTGAGTGTCCAGCAGTTTTGAACCCCAAATGGCAAGACCCCCATGCCCCACCCTGCCTATTCACCTGATGCTGCCCGGAATGACTTTGCTTGTTTCCCCAATGAAAAAAAATCCTTAATGGAAATGTTTTGACAAAGTGGAAGAGGTGAAACAAACAAACAAGCAAACAAACAAAAATGGCAGAAGCACTAAAAGGCATCCAAACTGATAAGTTCAAAAACAGCTTTGAGCAGTGGAAAAAATGTCTTGATAGGGGTATCACATCAAATGAAGAGTACTTTGAAGGTGACTGAAGTTTAAACATATAAGAATAAATACTACACATGATCTTAACCAAAAGGCCGAGAAGCTCGGTGGCTCAGCCTGTAATCCCGTGCCTTTGGGAGGCTGAGGTGAGTGGATTGCCTAAGCCTGCGGGTCCGAGGCTGCCTGGGCAGGTGAGACCTCCTCTCTACAATAAAATCAAAAAATTACAGGCGTGGTGGTGCGCGCCTGTAATTCCGGCTACTCGGAAGGCTGAAGCAGGAAGATCGCCGGAGCCCAGCAGGTCGAGGTTGCGGTGGCCGGAAGC